AGACGCTCCCAGGAGAAGGAGGAGGGCATGGTGTCATGTGACTGGAAGACGGATCATCACTTCTGTGTCGTATGTCATGACCTCGCCTGGGGTTATCAGTACGGGGTGTGGTGCTGTGAAGGATATAAAGCCTTCTTCAGGAGGAGCATCCAGGGTGAGTTTTAGAATTCTTGCCATGCTTTGATAAATCATAATGTACAGATAAATAGATATATATAAATATGTAAAAAAAAAATATATATGCTTTTTAGTTCTTAAACATCTATCCATCCATCCATTTTCATCCGCTTATCCGTTACTGGGTGACGGGGGCAGCAGTCGCCACCCAAATCACATTGCACCACTGGAAGGTATTAACTGCCCTAACCGGGATTCGAACTTGCCCAGGAGGTGAACCCTGGGGTTACACACCAATGACGGAGACATTGCCTCTGGGCCAAAGCGCCACAGTTCTTAAGCGACCATGTTGAAAGACACATCCCATGGTGTTGGAAAAGATGTTAGTGTGTTTGAGAAGGGTCAAATCATTGGCATGCATCAGGCAGAGAAAACATCTAAGGAGATTGCAGAAAGTACTAAAATGGGGTTAAGAACTGTCCAACGCATTATTAAAAACTGGAAGGATAGTGGGGAGCCATCGTAATGGGCGCATCAGGGTAAGAAGAGAGGCAGGTGAAGTGATGCGTAGTGCGTACTGTACAAGCCTGTGGGGGCAGTGTTATGATCTGGGGTTGCTGCAGTTGGTCAGGTGTAGGTTCAGCAACAGTGTGTGCTGAAAGAATGAGGTCAGCTGACTAGGCCAGGCAGTGTTTATGTACATGTATGTGTATATGTACATGTATGTATGTGTGTATTTGAGAAACTTAGTTGTATGTGTTGAACGTGTTATGTTCAGGAGGGAAATAAACCCTGTGTGTGTTATTTCAGGACACAACGACTACATCTGTACGGCCACCAATCAGTGCAGTATCGACAAAAACCGCCGTAAGAGCTGACAGGTGTGTCGCCTTTGAAAATGCTGCGAGGTTGGAATGACCAAGTGTGGTGAGTCTCCTATCAACTTGTCAAGGAATATTATTATTATTATAAAAAGAAAAGGGTATTTGAGTAGATGATGAAGGATTCAGTGTTCCGTTA